ATGTGGAGCAGATGGGACCCGGAACACTGTAATGGTGGGTTAAGATGGCAGATTTTCTCTTACAACTCCGGCTACAACTACAAAAATTCCATTTCCAATGGTGGCTTGTTCTTGATGGCGGCGCGTTTGGCCCGATACACGGATAATGCAACCTACGGGGACACTGCGGAAACCGTATGGGAGTGGGTCACCGATATTGGTTTCATCAATAACTCGACTTCTGTGTGGCAAATCTGGGATGGTGCCAACATCGAAGAAAATTGCACGGACTTTACCAAGATTGAATGGAGTTACAATTATGGGGTCTATTTGGCTGGTTGTGCTTACATGTACAACTACACTGAGAATGATATTTGGGAGAAACGTGCCACAGACTTATTGCTGTCTGCTACATCCTTGTTCTTCAACCATTCTATCATGTACGAACAGTACTGTCAGGCAGCGGGTATGTGTAATAACGATCAACGTTCTTTCAAGTCCTTTTTCTCCAGATGTTTGGGGCAGACTGCTGTGTTGATTCCATCTACCCATGAAAATATTATGGGCTTGCTCACCGCATCCGCCGTGGGTGCTGCTCAGTCGTGTTCTGGTGGTAGTGATGGACACACCTGTGGAACTGATTGGACATTTCCCGGATGGGACGGAAAGTACGGTTTGGGAGAACAGATGTGTGCCTTAGAAGTGATGCAGAACTTGTTAGTCAGTCAACTTCCACCCCCATACAAAAACAACACCGGCGGCAGTTCAGTAGGTAATGTTAATGCCGGTAGCACTAAACTGGCGACGTTGAATCAAAATGAGCTCACCATCACAGGCGGAGACAAAGCCGGTGCGGGCATCCTTACCGCTGTGGTCTTGGCAGGGTTGCTTGGTGGCACTATTTGGATGGTTTTATAAGCATATGAGTTCTACAACCACATTCTGACAGCGAATTTCTCTTTACTCCTTATATTTTACCACATCGTTTATTTTTAAAATATCAATATTATTTTCAGTGACTAGGTTTGCAAAGAATAATAGCTAACAGTATCTACTACCTGCTAGATATACCACAGGCCTTATATTATATCTCACAGGTCAATAAAGTAGGAACATGAAAGTTCACGTCATGAACCTTGTTCCATTCGTCCTCTGGAAAGTTGTTAAATGACGAACGGTATTGCACTCCCGCATTTTTTATCAATATATCGATCTGGCCAGTTAGGGATAGCTCAATGGCCTTGATATTTGGATTGGCAGTACTAAGGATTTCAACCAAGGTTTCTGGGTTGGTGCGAT